GATAACGCAGTAGTTAGAGATCCTATAATAAGAGTCTGCAGATAAAAAAATGGCAGATATGAAAGATAATAGATTTCTCTTATAGTTATCTATTTCTTTTTTTCTTTTTCCTACTTTCTTTAACTTTCCGAAAACGCACGAGACTTTCCATATACCCTGATAGAAATTTCATGCATTTTTTGAGCAGTTACTAAATAGTTATACCAATTTTTATCTAGTAACTGAGATGGAAAACTACTTAGGATTCCAATCAGGATGTAACGCTTTGCTTGCGGTTCCTGCATACAAAAACTGCGTAAATATGAATTCAACTACTGAATAGAAACACAACAAATAATGGATATTAAATAATGAATTAATAAGCAAGGCAACTCTTATGAAATGGATAGAATAAAACTCTATCAAGTTCTTGTTCATTTCCTCAGTATTGGCACAACTAATGAGAATATTATGAGAATAATATTAGATAGTAACTGGATAGGTGTCTAGGAAAATTGCATACATTTCTACAAGGGATGTATATATACAGAAAAATATTCTAATACTAAAAAAAGTGATCTTACAGTTATAGCGAAAATTGTCTAAGTATGAAAAATTAGCTAAAATAAATAAATTTCTAGCAAGTATTGTAATATTGGATATGTATATTGCATCTAATCATACAGAGATCATCAATTCATCAGACAGAGATAGAATTTAGATTTGTGTTATAAATTCTGTGCGTATGATACATAATTTTCTATCAGATACAGAAAATAATGATAATTCTAACTGGAGCAACAAAATATTTTTTTGCATGAAGAAAGCGATTAATCAATTTTTTTTTCTTTTTAAGTAATGATTATCTTCAACAAAAAATATTTTCTTAATAATAATTTTAAAATATACTCATTACAATAAGTATTTTTCTGTGTATCGAATGAATTATAAATATAAATAAATGGAAGGTTAACCCTTAAATATGCCACTGAAGGTCCAAAAGACCCCAAGATTTTTTCAATCGGATATTTTTGATCTCGCTATAAATCGAACTTCTGGCTTAAAAATTAAAAATAAAAAAAATTGTTTTTGTTTAAAAATAGTATGCTTTTTAAATTTTAACTAATTTTTTTTAGTATATATTTATACAATAAAATTTTACAATATTACAATTACATCTTCTTTTAAAAGAGATGTATCCAGACAAATTTTCAAAGCAAAATATTCAAAACTAGGAATAGTATACACTTTTTCAAGTTATAGAGTCCAATTAACCCCGTGTGGTATCTGTGTGATTTTTTTGGCGTGTGGCATTTAAGGGTTAATAAAAAAACTGATTTACTTTAGCGAGATTCTTATTATAAAGTCTGTAGCGATTGTCATCTCGAGAAATTTATAAAAATGGATGTCGTGGACGGTCGAAAATCATTCCGTCACGCGTGACTTGATTAATTATTATCCCTTTTCCTCTCCCACGATCGTCACGCACGTGAATACATGGATTTACGAATCTAATCATCATTAAAAAGAACGAGATTGAGAGACTGAGAAATCCTTGAGCAATGTTTCTTTCTAGAGTAAACAGCTCGAGGTTGAACGCCTTTCAGATCAATCGTAGATGGATCTCTCAGGTTTTTCCGCAAAAGCTGCTACATGCAGGGGATTCGTAAACGACGGTGGTCAAATAAATATAGATATAATCGAATGAAAGCCTGCAAGTCTCTTATTGCATCCGTTTGTATAACAAAACCCAACAACGACGAAGCTCTCCGATATCTCAGAGAAAGTCGGAACGAAATGAGAAAAATTAACAGCAAAGCGATGGCTGTCATCAGTCATCACTTCGAGTGCTTAAGTTGTATTCCTTTGATATCGAACAACAATAAACTAGAAACAAAAAATTTAAAATCTAAAAAATCGATAAAAGAAAATTTAAATATCTTAAAAATTTTTGTTGATTTACGGTTGTTCGATATCAAGGAGCAAAGTCTCAAGTACTCGAATGATCGAACTGATGACAATGATGACAGCCATTGTTCCGCTATTAATTTTTATTTCGTTCGACTTTCGTCGAGCTTCGTCATCGTTGTCGTCGTCATCGTTGTCGTTGGATTTTGTCATACATGCGGGATCCACGACCTGTTCGTGAAACTCGGAGAGAATTCTTCCTCTGGAATCCACCTTTGGAGAGGGATGTTCGAGCGGTAATTGAGACGATGTCCGATGGGGGTTTGTTTTCAGAAAAACCCCGCCGTGTTACTTCCATTCTTCCCCATCCCGTTGACGTGTTCCGGTCTTAGTCTTCGCGAGGGGCTTTTCCCTTTTTTTTCCCCTCTTGCTATCCTTTTGCGTTGGTCGTTCGATCGATGTCATGCCCAAGGGATGATAAAAATAAAGAGGGCGAGCCAGGAGTGGGAAAGAAAAAGAGAGAGAGAGAAAGAGTGATGGAGGGGGAGAAAAACGTAAAAAGTACGTATTACCTTCCGCTAACCAACCGATTTTTTGCGACACGCGCGTCCGCGTGCGGTTATTACTTTTTATCGCATGAAACGTTTTATTGTCCATTATACTCGGCTATCGAGGATAGAATGAGCACGTAGATAAATAAATAGATAGATCGAGGAATGGCAGGGAGGAGAAGAGGGTGCTGCGATGCCCACGGACATTTCCGTCGTGAACGACGGAAATAAAAGCGACGAAGAGATCGTGACCAGCGATGCTCTCGTATGCGATTCGAGTTCACGTCGCATCACCTATTGAATCTTCCTTGTTTATCATCGATTATCGCCCTCGATATCTTTTGGAATGAGTCAACCATCGCCTTTCTGACTTATTCGTGCATTGAACTTGATCGTTGGAAATGCAAAATGACTTAGCGCGAACGAGTCTCTTAAAAGTGACAAATTGAAGAGAATCTTTTTCAATTCTTTTTCAATTCTTACACGAGAGATGATTCGGAGATATCAATGTTCGAAATGGTAAACTTCTTGGAGTGAAATCTCACTCCAAAAGAATGAAAATTCTGTCACTATTGAAAAACAGTGAAAATATTTGCACAATATCTTTCACTGAGAAAAATGGCCTGGTTGAATTAAATAGTAATTCTGGTGGAAAATGGACGAATTTTCTAATTAAATCTATTAGAATTCTAGTTGAGATAATAGAACTTTGATTAATATAATTATTCTGGTAAAAATAAGAATTCTAGTAAATTTTATCAGAAAACATATAAAAAATAAGAGCATAAAAAACCACAGCACAAGTTCTAGTTTGTGATATTTAATTATTATTACATTAATTAAAACATTAAACGTTTCGGCCACAATCTGGCCATCTTCAGTAATTCAATAATATTCTTAAAACGCAGAGTTACATCTAGTTGACATTAATTCTCGACTGTTGAATTTAATGTCAACTAGATGTAACTCTGCGTTTTAAGAATATTATTGAATTACTGAAGATGGCCAGATTGTGGCCGAAACGTTTAATGTTTTAATTAATGTAATAATAATTAAATATCACAAACTAGAACTTGTGCTGTGGTTTTTTATGCTCTTATTTTTTATGTTTTAATATTAGAATCACGTTAATTTTCAAGATATATTTTATCAGAAAAATTGTATCGAACAGAACTCTAGTTATCTCAACTAAAATTCTAATAAATTTAACCAGAAAATTCGGATTCGTCTATTCCCAACCAGAAATTGTTTTCAGTGTTAATATGATCGGACTTGCCCTTTCGTTCCTCACTGCATCTAAATGTACAAACCAATCATATTAAAGAATTGTATAACAGTTGTAAAGCTGCTTTTTCTGCTGAATGCAGCAGTCTCATTAATTTTTAACAGAGGTGATAAATTATCTTGGACCATATCAAACAGTTATGAAAACATATCTTTATAAAGCGGATGACTGCTTTTATTCACATTCTGAAGTAATGTATTGAGAAATTAAATTACTACATTTTTACAGTTAATTATAAAAAGAGATAATTACTGGACAGATGAAAAAGAAATGTTTCGTTGAAGTAAAAAGTTGTTCCAGACATGATCTGTAACTTGAACTCGTTCTTTAGGAGGAGAGTTGGCACGATCTTGTTTAACCTGATAAATCGCCCGTGGAGAATTCGTTCTCTTTTTAGCGTCTTCGTGGCGCGGCGTTAATTATACTACGCAAATAGTCAAAGGGTAGTCGGAAGGAAGTGGATATCGGCGATTTGCTCGAAACGGCACGGCGGATGGGAGCAAATTAAGTTCATCCGGCGAAAACGCATCGTCTGTGAATCGGTCTCTACGGTTTACGTGCGTTTACTTAGAGAACGCGGAGAGTATCTACGACCTTCGCGGAACGTCTTCGACGCCCGTTCACTCTTGTAATAATTCAACTCTCGAAATTACGCACGCGCGTAGACTGATCTGTGAACGAGTGAAGATGAACCTGAGACTATTAAGAATTAGAAACCCTCTAATGACAGTCAGAAATAATTCCAATTTTGATTGATGTCGCTATTTTTCAGCAAACTAATGTCGGTATAGACTGCACTGTTAAATCTAGTGTTAAATTTAACTTACTGTGAGTCGCCACTACTCCTACTCAATCATATCATTATTTTATAATAAAACAATGATTATATTTGACAATTATATTATACAATGTCAATTTGAAACTATATATTAAATTGACACGATATAATGTCAAATTTAATTATCGTTTTAATAAAAAATAACGATATATTTAATAGGAGCGACAATTCACATTAGATTAAATTTAACAGTATGTGTCATCACAGTTGTAACATTTTAGACATAATACATCTGTGTAGACATTAGAGAGTTTCTAATAAGAATTAAAAAAAAAAAGAATTAATGTCTAAAAGAGATAAATGAAGCTTTATTGATTTTATCCCAAGCTTTCATTCTCCTCTTTTTATCTTTTACATCGCGAAAATATCAGCGACCACAGGAACCAACATTATCACAGTCTTGGAAGCGACCCGAGTGTTTAGATGACGAAAGACTCACCCGACACGATTGCCAAGAGAAACGCTGCACTCACGATGGCAATCGCCACGCAGAGGAGCCTCATATTATGTATCCCTTATCGCCTCTGCTCGTCCACTTCTATCCTCTTCCTCCTCGCGACCTGCACCTCCTCGTGTTGGCACCAAGGGAGAGCCTACGATCGCAGACGCATCGTAGTTGAGTCGATTCGCTTCCCGGAGAAGGCACGGAGACGCGAGTGTACCCGCGCCGGTGAACGAAACTTCACGACTGTTTTGTGGTTGAGTATGCGACCGGTCGCTCGGAACGTGAAAGACTGAGGAAGGCTCGTGCTGGCCAAGTGATATTAGCCTCGTACAACGGCCCACTCGTGTGCACGGGGCCTCTCCCAGCCGTGAATCCTTGTGGAATCCTCCTCGAGGCGAGAGAACGATGCGAGTCGACCTTCTGCCTTCACGCGACGCCGATTGCAACAAAGATTTCATGCTCGCTAAACCTACAAGAGAACATGCCGATATTTTAATAAAGAAATATTGACCGATATATCTATAACACAGAATAAATATTCATTTTTTTTTTATTATCAAACAAAATCTTGAGTCATTAAATAAGTTTTGTGAAGTTTTATACATTTACTGATTATTGTTGAAAATTGTTAGGTACAGTTGAGGATAAAATCTTGAGTCTAACAATTTTTTTTAAGTTTATATGATTACTAAAATTTTATGATTATTGTTAAAAATTAATAGATTAGTTACTAATTATATTAATTAGATATGAGAATTAGTACAAGATTATTTTTCTGTGTAAATAAATAAAATTAAATAAATATATAAAGGAGGTAAAGTTGGCTGTGTAAAATGGCTGCGAACTATAAAAAGTTAAGTGAATGTATGTATATATGTATATAAGTAGTATATAATTGATTATAAAGATAAGAAATGAGCAAATAAGAATGTGTGGAAGATACGGATGAATGAGTGAGTTAAGAAGAATTGTAAACCAACTCCCTTTCTTGGTATGTAAATAAGAAGAGGGAATAAATATTCCATTCTATTATATTTATTTCTCTGTAATTGACGTACTATTATCTTAGTTATGAGATAATAGTATGACATCATTTACTGAAAATAAATAAATATTTTTGGTCACCAGATAGTCTTGCACCTAATATCGACGTACATAGGACGTGCGAGAAATCTACGGGGTTATTAAATAAGGAATAATGCAAATGCGTGTAAAAGTCATCGATTAGCAGTGGTAAATTTTCGCGATAGCGATTTACGAGGCTCTCCCGAGAGAGGCGAGCTACGGTAGTGCACAATGTTGTACACTTTGTTAATCCTGCCGATTTACTCCGCGCGAACGAAGCGGCGACCTGAGAGTTTGCTGAGGCAACACGACGAAATTTTTCTCTTCTTTCAAACTTGGATCGAAACTCGCGAGAAAAATGATACCTCGTGGGCCTCTTTCGTCGATATAATCACTTTCTGCCGCAATAATATTTTTTTATATCGAGCCATTTGCACGAATAGATATGCATACATTACCAGCAGATATCGGAGTTTTCACCTTCTCTCCTTTTCCACGTCTCGCGCACTTCCAAACTTCATTTCTCACTCACTAAATCTAATGTAAGACTTATCTCGTTACTCTGTATATTTTATAGCAAAAACCTGTTCTTCTTTCTAATTCAGTCCTTTATTTTGTTATACTTTATTTCATGTCTTTTCATTTTCTCTTATAAAATTTCTTGACTGGACTTTCATTATATAAATTATACATCATATATTAACGGATCGTATGTGATATTCTTTCAGAAAATAAAATCGGCGTTCACATCCAACACGTACAAGCTAGAAAATGGTGATATCATCGAAGCGGCACTGTCCCAACATTTCGCGTACCTGCACGGTGTTCTTCAAAATATGGAAGCAAAGTTGATAAATCAACTATATGAGCAGGGTAATCGTCTCAAGAACAATTTAGAAAACATTGAACTACAACTTCAATCGCAGGAGGAAAAATTGAAGTTTACAATGCAGGTACTTCTCTTAAAAATAAAGAATTATCATAGACTATAAATTTGTCCGCCTTTTTTTGCTTCAAATCGATTTACTTCGTTATTCTAATGATTCTGTGAGTTTTAAATAATATTGTCAAGGAATATTCTCTAGAATTATCTAAAAGTAGCGAATCTCACGCAGCTAGACTACATCGTGCTGTGTTTACAAGAACATATTTGTGTTTATTTCTCACACTCTAAAGTCAAGGCAAGTAATATGCTGCATTGTGATTGGGCCACGTGAAATCTCGAGGCAAAAATCATCGAAATGATTAAACGGGCTTGTGCTCCGAGGCAGATTTATTCCGACGGACGCGTGAGATAGTTACTGTGTATGAGAGTAAAAATTAAATTTAAAATATTTTTATTGTTAAAATTTTAAAGACGTCACTAAAGTAGTCTCTTAATTACCTGTATCTTACATTCCAACAATATAATCTGCTTTTTATTCGTAATTAATTGTAACTTTCTAAAATTAAAACAAACGGAAGATTTTTGTGGAGAAAAAAATATAATAGATGAAATAAATAATTAAACATAATTAAATAATTGATAGAAGTGAATCTGGCAAAAATAACACAACCTTTAATTAAATTCAGATTCGTCAATTTAAATTTACTCTACATGAAAAAGACATTGTTTGAAACGGCAAGTTGAATTGAACTTGATATATTTGTTTGTAGCTAGCATCCTATGCGGAACAGACCTTCCATAAAGTGGACATAGGAAACGCAATAAATATTCTAACGGAAATGGCAGATCTTCCTTGTCATTTGATGTACAAAGACTCAGGCCAGAACAACAAAGCAAAGTAAGTAATGAAAAGCGAATCAATTAGAAGAACCGTCTACTAAGACTTTTTTTTCTGACTCGCAGTATGTATAAAATTTCTTTTGTTGCTAACTCGCGTTCGATTCTTCGCCATAACTTGAATGTTACTGAGTGTCTCTTTATCAATATCAAAGTTCACATCCAGACTATTATTTTTACATTTACTTTATTGTTCATCGTGTACGATCACGTGAAGCGCGAACGATTATCCAAATGATATTAGAATCAAATATTACAATAAAGAGCTACGAGTCAAATAATAATTTAAAATCATCTGTAAACAAACGTTATTGTGATATTTGATTTTTAGTCATTTGAGCTATTATTTATATAACTTTAATTTCAAACGATATTAATGGACTCGCTTAGTGTAACAAGTTGTTTCTTTAATAGGTTTACCATCGATGACTCAATCGTCGAAGCTATAGAAAATCACTGTACAATTACAGTGCCACCAGTGTCGTCTTACAGTCTTGTGCGAAAAGAGGAACTGCCGACGAATTACATAATGTCGCCTTTACCGAAGAAACCACGTACAAGTGAAAATACTAATTTTATTATGATTTAAGTGACTTCTTCAAAAACAAGATATATCTTCACCTTTGAATTTTCAATTTTTGTTTCCATAATTTTTTTTATAAACTGTACAAACTAATATTTTCAATAGATGTAATAGATTATTTTCATAAAAGTTTTTACTTAATTTGCATAATTTGTGTGAAATCAAAAACGCAAGTAAATAATATAAAATGATGTTGACAGAGATTCTTGAAAGTTCGCAAGCAAAGCTAGAACAGGCGATAATGCGACCGGTAATACAATCGGAACAAAAACTTGATGACTCATTAATGTCGACGATATCCATCGAGATAGAAGATAAAGAAGAAGAAAGTAAGTTACTCTTTTTAATCTTTATTTCTCAAGACTCAATCAGTTCTTTTTCTTTTTCAAGGTATTTCCGAATGTAAGGTGGAAGTGACGTACGTTGTTGATCCGTCGTTATTCTTTGTACGAAAAGTGGCCATGAAAGCAAAATTCCTACAGTTAGAGAAAGACCTAATGGCATACGGAAACGATGAGGAGAACCTAAAGAAATCGATCAATATTAAGCAAAGTACGAGATTACAATTGTTAATGTTGATATTAGACCTATTCTTTTTAATTAAACTTCTGCACCATTCATTGTTTCTCTTTTTTTTTCTTTAACGTGGAAAGAAAAGAGAGAAGATAAACTGTGCAACAAAAGTTTTTTGCAAATATGCGTTTGTTTTCAACTTATTGTACTAGTTTAAAGGGTGTATTCTGTACACGTCTATCGACAGTTATCAGCAGCATTAAGTAGCGGCAGCCAAGAGAACTACGTTTTTTCTTAAGATTGTTTTTACTATTAATTATCATTAGTTGTCGACATCGACAGTTGTCAGAAATTGTGTACAGAATCCCGGTCCAGGAATAAAAAAAAACAGACCTAAATCAGCTGAAAGAAATAGGCAATCATTTTTTCATCATTTTTCATGTTAATAGATGACATGTGCATCGTCAAACAATGGAAAGTCAACGAGTGGTACCGTGGATGCGTGAACACAGTGATGACAAATAGCGACGGCGAAACATCGTACAACGTGGTTTACATAGATTATGGATACGAGGAATGCAACATAGCGGCTTCGAGAGTGCGAAAAATAGCTGAGCATTTGCAAACATTGCCACCACAAGCGATTCGATGCTGTTTAAACGGCTTGAAGCCTAAGAATCTTCATTGGACGAACGCGAGCACAAATGATTTCATGAAACTGACAAATGGAGTGTAAGCCATTAGCGATCCTACATTTTTACCCTATGTGCACTAAGAAAGTATGAGTAACTTCATTAACCATTGAAAAAAATGTTCCATGTTATAGCGATTGCATGATGTCCATTATCAAATCTACTCCTGATATTTTACACGTCGATCTTCGTGTTAATCCGAAGAATAGTAACATGGGTCCACAGTCGATGTGTAGTACTATGAAAATTATGGATTATGCGCATTTGGACAGTCGGAAAAATCCGGTAAGCAGATTTGAAGACGCATATATCCATACCAGTATAATGCTAGAGTTATAAACATTCCCCTGTAATGCCCTGTATGCCCAGTTGTATGCCAATACTCAGATTCTTAGGTCCAATTTCACAATATATGATTACCTAAAGATTAAAGGTAATCAAAAAATTCATGAATAAATTTAATTGATGAATCTGTTGGTCTCTTTAATTAAAATCTTTAATCTTTAGGTAATCATATATTGTGAAAACAAATCTTAATCAATTTTTCTTTTAAAATTGTATTAAAAAATAATTTTGTTTTTATATCTATACTAGTACTAGATGGTTAATTTTCAACTATTAGGTGTTGGAATTAATTCGTAGCGTTTTACAAGTGATGGGAAGTACTTTCATTAATGTATTTTTTAATGCTCATGTGAAATAAATAACATTCTTTCATTAAAAAACGCTACGAATTAATTCCAACACCTAATAAAATACTATAAACGACCGGATATCCGGTTGAGCGGTCATTGAAATAATCAATGGCCGCTTCAATCATTTTACACATACATACACACATATACTGTTGTCGCTATTAAATCAACTCAAAAGTTAATGATCTAATACTAGTATAGATATATGTGAATGATCCATTATATATTTTCTTATTTTGTTACACGTAATGCTTGCATTTTTTTGTAGAAAAATACACTGACGACTTACGTTTATAATAGAGAAGAACTTCCATTAAATAAATCAACAGCAGTTATTATTGGCTGGCTTGAGTCACCATACAAGATTTATGTCTCCAAGGTAAAACAGTTACAATTACATTATTACACATTTTACATGTTTCCAAAATCTCATTAGAGAGAGAAAAAAATTTGAGAAGTTTTTGATATTTCATATTATTATATTTTTATGGATTTTTACAGGCTACGCGACAAAATAAGTTTTTGAAATTAAAGGATGAATTAAACGAATATTACACAAAAGAGACTTCAGTGAAAATTATTGAAACACTACAAAAAGGTTAGTTTTATAATTAGGTATTTCTGATAAGTGAGATAATTGTTTTATAATTAAATGATAATATAAAAATTATGCGTTTCACGGATTTCCTCCGTGTCTAGATCCATTCTTGGAATGCCAACATTTCGTGAAGATATCGGTATCAGGCTGCTCCTCGCTCTGATGAAGTGAACTGTAAGGTTCACGAATGGCATTTCAAGAATGGATCTGGACAGAGATGAAACCTGCGAAACGCATAATCTTTATATAGAAAGCACCCGTGGAAGCCTCAAGAATATTAAGTGAATTATTAAGTGATAATATTAATTAATTATGAATTTTATTAAGACTATTATTACATGTCATAATAATTATTTAAAAACTTAATTTAAATAAGATACTCTCCTAATTAATAACTATTTTGGAATTGAACAAGATTAAGTAAATGTCAAAAATTTGAAGTACCTACTAAAAAGAAAATGTAACATTATTTTCTGTAATTACGATATCTTTCAAATACTTCCCTTGCAAAAATTTTAGCTTAAATTTATCATAGGTGTACCATGCGCTATACAATTAGAAGACGATACCTGGCAACGCGGTGAAATTATCGAAATAATTAGTGAAAACCAAGTCAGAGTATTTTGTGTGGATTGGGGATGTACTTTGATTCAAGATCGCGACGCATTACGAATGATTCCATATGAATATACCACATTTAAGGCCCAAGTAAGTCAACTCTTTTTCTATGTACGATATGATATAAGTTCATCATTTTCTCTCGTTTGATTTAGGCTATAAAAATATCGCTAATGTATATAATGCCTGAAGCCAATGGAACATGGAAACAGGAAGCTGTAATAAGTTTGTTGAATCTCTTTAGTAACACAAAATCTATCATGGTAAATCCTCGAAAAAAAACAGATGACGGATACATTGGATTAATGTATAGCAATAACATTGATGTCAGCCGGCAGTTAAAAATCACAGGCGTTGTTAACGATTATGTTGTGAGGTGAGCACTAGTGTCAAACATAAAATTTTTAATATAAAGACACTTTATTTTCTAAATGTATGCCATGCTTGACTTTTCTTTGATTATTTTTTCATTTCTCTAAAGCAACAAATTTAAGAACAAATTGCAAAAGAAACCACAATCAGATGTTAAAAATAATGTTTCACTACTGGAGAAATCTGATAATAATACTATCAAAGACTTCTGTATTTCATACAATACGGAGAATGATAAATCCATGAAAGAAGAGACGCCTAAAGATCCATTCAAGGTAGAAGTGCGTATTCAACGGGTGATCACACCGGACTGCATCTATGTTGCACAGATGGAACATGAACAAGAGAACGAGAAACTGATGTTAAAGATGCAAAAATTCTACGATAAGTATCATTCCGAGCCACGCAATAATTGGAGTGAAGGTGCATTGTGTACTGTGTATTCCGCAAAGGATAAGTCCTACTTCCGTGCTAAAATATTGAAAATAAAGTCCTCGACGGAAGTGCTAGTCTATTTATATGACATGGGCATCGAGGAGACTGTGACGATGAAGGACATACAAGTTCTTCATCCACAATTCGCGGAGGAAATGACGTACTGCTTTAAGGTGAAACTAGCTGGTATTTTGCCGTGTGGCGGATCATCCACATGGCCGTCATTATCTTGCACAACACTGTCCGAGATTATACAAAATAATGCGTATTGCAAGTTTTATATCACTAAGCCGGTAAGAAATATCCTTTTTTTTTTCTTTTACATTAATCCATAAATTTGAGGAATTGTAAAAGCACCATCTTAGACAATAAATTCCATTTGTAATCTTATGCCATATATTTATATAAAATATTTTTATTTTATAAAAATTATGTAAAAATAATATTAATTTCAATTATTGAATGTTGATTACGAATATGAAAATGTAATTACTATTATTGTATATATTAAGGTTCATGAAGAATTTTCTGATGATATTATACCTGTCGAGCTTTGGGTAAGACAATCTAAAATACCAGGACCGTTAGCACCAACTCAAATAGAAATAAATTCTATCAACCGAATGTTGGTGGAGAAAGGTGTCGCTTTACCCATTAAGAAGTAAAAAATTAATTCAATATTTAATTTATTTATAAAAAAGACTCTTAATTTATATGAGATGTTCGAATCATAATTTTTAATTCAATTTAATAGCTACTTTGCAAAAGCAGACTCAATTCTCGCAGAAGAATTTAAACAGCAGTTGGAGACTAGTCATTGGGGTATGCCGAACGAAGAAAATGTTGAATGGTTGGACAAAGATCCGACTAAAAATGAATTGGATGTCACCATGACATCATGTCCATGGCAAGATAGACCTAGAATTGAATTAGATTTAATTCCTTCAGCTCCGATGACTAAACACAAGGTTTGCGATTCGACAAATCGTGAGGGTTCGGTGAAGTTCTCAGACTGGTTGCCGCCGATCGAAATCACGGAAGAAGTATTTCATGCTATAACGACATATGTGGATGTTAAATGCATGGTGTACTTGCATTCTAAGAAATACAGTATGTTATCTTTTGATTATATGTATAGTAATTATTAGGAATACATTGGATCGTAAAATTACCGGATATTGGATATCCGGATAGAATATATAACATTGAATATCCGATTGGATATCTGAGAAAGCAGTTTTTTTTTTTTTTAGTTGGATATTCAATATTTTTTCGGATATCCAACTGGATTTCGGAAAAATGACTTCTAAAAAAAATCTATACAGAGAAAAAATTGGAATTTTGCAATGTATACCATATTATAACATTATAAATATGCATATATATATTTCTAGAACATTTATATAATAAATTAATAATTTAATAATATTAAATTTCAATCGGATATATTCTTGAATATTAATGATATCCGGCTATCCGATCGGATAGTAAAAAAGTGCCGGATAATATTAGATACTTTCCAGATATTCCTAGTAATTATACAAAGTTTCTTTTTAATCTTGCATAGAATTTCCTATTGATTTATGCTTATATGTCAATATCATTTATATGTTATAGCAATACGAACAATAGGTTTAATTATTCGAAAAATATGTTGCTATATTCTATCGTTTTACTTTTGTTAGATGCCGACTTATTGAATTATATAGAGACCGAATTGCAAAATTATTGTAAAAAAGTTAAAACGAACAAAGAGAAACAATGGAAGGAAGGAGAAATATGTATTGCTCAATATCATTATAATCAAAAGTGGTATAGAGGTAGAATTGTCGACAATTTAGGAAATGTAGTGAAGGTAAAAAATAATCTATTACTTTTAACTATTATTTTCGCATTACTTTTTCTTGATCGTATGATCCAAGGTGGAATTTGTCGATTATGGCAATGTGGAAGAATGTAAAATAGAACATGTAACAGATGATATTAGATTGGGACATATTCCTATTCAGTGCACAAAATGCGTCATCAGTGGGTTAAGACCGGTAAGACAGAATTTTCTTTGACAATACCAATTTTTTTTTTTTGCTTAATTCTGTGTTCGTTCGCAATGATTTTTTTCAAAATCTCTCCTTATGTTTATACAACAGGCATCTCCGAATGGTAAATGGAAATTGATCGATTTAGACCGCATACACGCGCTTCTTGTTGATCAAGAATGCAAAGTGTCCATTTTACAGCGCCAACCCACAAATTTAATTGTAAGTTACAACTATGTCAATAGCAGTTTACGAATATAAATCTCAATCTCTAGTATGAAGTCTCCAATTACTTTATTGTAATTTTATAATAATGTTATGCGCATACATCATCATGCTTATAGGTATCCATCACATTATTACGACCATGGAAATCCGATCTTCTGTTATATCTTTCAAATCACATGGATATGGATATTAAGATCGAACGTAAATCATGGAATGATTCGGACAATTCCGAAAATGAAGATTTCAATTCGACGGTAACCTTGAACACCACTAGGGATGTTGTCATTGAAGAAACAATAAGTGATTACGAAAAGCTATGCATAACTGACATCTCCAAGAAATCTTCAAATACAAACAATGAGGATATTACATTAAATGAGAATGTAATTAGTGGTAATTTAGAGACTACAAAGACAGAATTACTTGATAAATTAGAGAATAAGCGCATGATTTCCGATACCGAAAGTATATCTTCGATAGACACGAATATTTTAAACACGAATATAATCTGCTCAACGCCGCAACCATCAGAGGACGAAGATTATATGATCTCATACAAACGGTTGATCATTCCGCAGGATACAAAGTACATTGAATTAATATTATGTTGTAACAAAGATCCTATCACTTCATTAGCGCAACTGGCAGAAAATAACGACGATATATTCTCTGATGTAAGCATACGCGAATTATTAAATATATCTGACATAAACAATCTAATTTATTTATTATCTTTTAGAAGCTTCACGAGTATTACTTGCAATACGAAAGCGTAATGTCAGAAATGCAGACTAATCGTCAACCATTAATCGAATCCTTCGCAAAGAGTAATTTCTTAATTATTTTTAAACATAGATAAAACTATACATGATTTAATTGATATGCAGATTATGATTCGTTCAATAAAATATATTTATTTTATATTTTTTAGATACTCCATGCATCGCGAAATTTACTGATAATATGTGGTATAGATGCATTATTACAAATAGTGAAAAAATTTTAAACACTCAGTATATAAAAATTTCATTATATTACGTCGATTTTGGTAATCATGAGTACATACAGTTACATACAACGGACATATTCTCCAAGTAAGATTTTAACATTATTGATTTATTTATATATAATGATACACAAAAATAAAATGTTCTAGAAACTATGATTTACGTGTACCAAAAGAGGAATGGTTGGAATTACCTGCCATGGCTATCAAATGCACATTTTGGGGGCTAAACTTCGTTTCTAACGATATTGATTTATTAGCATCGAAATTAGATGAAATATACAATGAAGCAGTCGTGGCCCGAGTTAAGGTAAGTTCGTTTAAAATAAAATTCATTTATTTAAAGTTCACATAAAAATACGTAATTATTATTATCACAGAAAATTATTGAGGGTAATCATGTAGTAGTCGAAGTATACAAGGACAAGATGTGTACGGAACTGTTTTATGCTGATTTAATAAAAGAAGGTTTATATCAATTTAATCTCACGGAAGACTGAGGATCAACGTCAACTCTTCGACTAATTTCACATATATTTATTTCATATGATTTATATGGCGTTTCATATGATTTAAGATTCCTGAGTCACCACAGTCATTCATAGTTATATTGATGAATCGTTACGTTAGAACGATAATATGGTGATTACTCAGGAGCCTTAAATTGAAAAAGAATTTAAGCTGTGAAGTTTATTTTTTCATAATTTATTTTTCTACGTATAAATAGGATAAGATAGATTAGAAATAAGAGAGAAATATATTTTTTTGTTCCTGTAAAATCTTATTTTGTAGAAATCCATCATACGTCACACTTTGATTTGATATATATTGCATTAAATTCAGATTCCCTTATGGCTTCTGCACACAGGATACAGCAACACTTGCCGCGCGGCGGAAGTGAGCATGGTAACCAATTAAGTTTAACACTTTTCTACAAAAACGAAAAACATTGGCTATCGCGCTAATTTCCATCATGTGGCAAACGTTGTCGCGTTCTGTGTGCAGAAAGCATTAGAGATTTTACATTAGTGTTATCTTTTACATTAACGTTGTGTACTTTTTGCAATCTGTTCCTTTAGCACGAGAATACTTTGTCTCTGTTCAGGTGGAAGCATTGCAATTTGCTCATCTGACAATTGCAATACTTGCATTATCAAAGCCGCCTGCAAAAAAAATTCATGACCTATTTAGAATTTAGAATAGCTATATGTAACATATATTTCTTTACATATGTGACCAAGCTAGGAAGACAGTAATAATGAATTTAATTATTTAGATTCGCGTTTGACCACTGTGAGTTAATACCCATTCAAATTTACATGTTTTCTTATGCGTATAATTGTATTTTTTTTTTAAATGTTATTTTTTTCTAAAGTGTGTCTCACGATATATATATATATATATATATATATATGCGATATTGTTCTATTTAAGATGTCTATTGTTTGGAAACAATTTCAAATAAAAAATGTAATAAAAACATGAGAAACAGTCTTATCAATGAAAATATTTTAAATATACCTTTTCCTGATCAGACGCACCACTGGGGATACTTCCCGCTGGAGACATTCCGGCCACTAGCCTCGAAGTTGCAGAGCTCGCAGGCTGTGAAAGCGCAGCGGCAGTCGAACTAGTCGTGTTGCTAGTTACAGTACTTGATGCTGGCACAGTTGGTGCAACAACCGGTCTCGGGACAATCGGAGGCGCGACAGGAGCCGCTGAAAGTTTTAAAAAACAAAAGTCCATTAGCGATAAATTCATCAAAAAGAAATTCTTGGTAAATTTAGGCCTGTAGTTATTATTCTGTAACTTTTAATGATAATACGATACTGATATTATCGTTAAAAATTATGGAATAGTGGTCTTTGTCGAACATGAAGCCAATAGATCTACATAAAACGAATATGTAAAAAAGTGAAAAACTACATACGAGGAGGTTTGGTGATTCTAGGATCGATGGGCCTGGAATCTCTAAGGTCCCTCGAATCTCTGCCATATATATATATACATATATATATATGTATATGTATATGAGACCTCTCAATTCCTTCCACAGAAAGTAGGCTGTAAAAAGAGGTCTTTTAATTACGCAGTCTATAATCGAATCTATGTATATCGATTAATATAAAGCGCTCTTACTTATCTGCCATATTAAATGCATTTGCCCCCCTTAGATCAGTAGTGACCGGTATCACCGGCGCGCTAACTGGCGCAGGCTGCGTTTGGGGTGATCCTCTCAAATCTTGATCCAATCTAGCTACACGCGGATCTATCTGCCTGTCTAGTCGAAGATCTACGTCCTGACCTGTTTTTACGGATTCAATTTTTAATTTAAATTCCTTGTCCAGTGATCCTCTCAAATCTTGATTCTTCCTAGTTACACACGGATCTATCTGTCTCTCTAGTCGGAGATCTACGTCCTGACCTGTTTTTACGGATTGAATTTTTACATTTATATTCCCTGTCCATCTGTGACAATGGAGACGTCATTGATTAATGAAATATAGAGATGAAGTATAACATGATAAATCATAAGGTGAATAAAACAAATAGTATTGATTAATAATGCATTAATTTTCATACTGGAATGGGTCAACTTCAAAGGAAAAATGGATGCATACACCTCAAAATTTTAACACAATTCTTCATGATCAATAATAACTAATATAATGTTTAAATAATAATTAATGTTGTAAGAAGATGATCCTTTGTCATACCTGCGAAAATAGGCGCTGGGGCATTAATAGGTGGTGGGGGTCGCTGTGCCCATGGCTCCTCGATTCGTGGTTGTACCTGCTGAGTTGGTTTTTCCGATGGTGTTAATATACCTGGGATAGGATTAGCCTTGTGCAACATACTAACAGCTGTATGAGGATCCACTATTCTCATGACCACCTGTGCTTGGAGCAGAGCATATGCCAACTGGGGATTCTGAAGGAGCATTTGACGTGCCTCATTTGGATTATTTTGAACGCAAAGTTTCATCTGTTTCATCAGTTCAAACATCTGTTCCGGTGGCAAAGATGCCACAGCTTTGCTTATCGCTTCTGGTGCCTTATCCGACTGAACGGCTTCTCCATAAGGATTCTCTGTACTCTGACCCTGCAGGAGACTTTGCATCTCCATACGACTTTTCTCCGTGCAAGCATTGTCCACGCGTAATGTTCGTCCACCAATTTCATATCCATTTAGGTTTCTCATAGCACTTAGAGCAGTCTCCTGATCTTTATATTCACAAAAGCCATATCCCTTGGGCTTGCCTGTCTCACGGTCAAATACTAATCTATTTGTAACAATTAAATATGTAGATAAATACAAATACTACCTTTGTAATAGAAAAATTAGAGTGATTATAATAGAACAGAGAAAGATAAAATTTACAAGTCAAATATATGTTTTTGATAGAAAAATGATAATATGAGACATAAATGAATAAAGTTATGTTCTATATATTTAATTAGTGCAAAGAAATTCTTTTATAACCGTTCTAGACGATAATTCAATATCGATAAAGTTCAAGTTATTTTCTTAGAGAGAAAGTTGTACTATTTTAAAATTGGCTGCTAAAATTAATAAGGAATGTTTAAGATATGTCAAAAGATTCGAAAGGAATAATAATAATAAATTGTTTAATACAATTAATTAAGACAAATAGGCTCACTTGAATGAAAGCACCGGTCCAACCTCACTGAAGATATCCTTCAGATTCTCCTCCGTAGCCTCGTACGGGATATTCCCGACTGTAAAACAATAGATATTGCGACGTCACATTAATATAACTCTAAGAAGCGGCGCCGAGGTACGTTAAATTACTCACCAAAGACACTCCGCATCGACTTGTCCATCAGTGTTTGATCCGAAATAGTTGAATTACTCATTTTCGTGCTTTTGTTTCGGACTAGTACGAGCGATACAATTCTAATAACAATACAGGAAGTACTCCGTTCAATTGATTCGGCACCTAGACGACGGATTCATACACGTATGTCTGTACTATCGCCGTTATCGCACACTATCACTAAACAGTTTAATCTTGCATCTAGTAAAATCAGTACATCAGAGAGAAGTCTATATTCTGAACAATCTATATGCTCAATACACTCATACACTCTAAAAAGTCATTGGAAATGGAACCCGTCTACTAGCGCCTCTATGTGCACACAATGCGCATACTGAACTATGTATTTCAGTGGGTAACACATCGACGGTTTTATGATTCTCAGAAATTAGACTTTAATCATGATCGGTAATTCCACGTATTTACCAATCGCTGTGCAAATACCAACTGTGATAATAATCGAGCTGTGATAATATCACCTGTGGTACCTACTCCATTGTCCATCAGTCCACGGTTGTTTCCTTGATAGTTTCCTCCACCATGGTGAATAATGGGAGTGATTCATCTTTCTTCTTTTCACTTTTCATGATAGCGACCATTAGTAAATGTATTGCGAAATGTTGAATCCGTTTCGGGTCGTTTAGACTAGACAGTAAAAATTTTTAAACAGCAAAACTGTTACGTGATGCTCAATGCAAAAAAGTAGTCAACATTACTGGTGAATAAGGATAGTGCCTTGAAAGCTTCCTGTTGCTTCTATTAACTGGTATTAAATTACTATTTTCAACATAAGTCTGATAAGTAATCAATTAAAATGAAGAATATTATTTATTATTAGCTTTGTTCCATATTCACTGTTATAATATTAATAATAGAATGAAGGTGACTTATAGATATTGGATTAGCAGTGAAATGTAACACAAGCAATAGTACTATTATCTAGTGAATTTATATATAACTATATTAGATATTAATATTATATATGTTCATAAACTAGATACATATATTATACATCTTATTGATTAATTAGCTGCTTTATTTTTTACTTGCTAGTTTTTCCTTTTTTTGTTTTTTTGTGTGTTTGCATTTTTTTTTGTGTTTTTGCATTTTTTTGTTTTTTTTTTTGCGTTTTTGCGTTTTTTTGTTTTTTTGCGTTTTTAGCGTGTAGCGCGTGGTTTTTTTTTTTTTTTTTACTCAATATTCATGAATTACTTAATGAATACTATTCGAGTCAGTTTTTCCAAACTTTTTTTTTATAAGTAAAAGTATTATTAATAAAACACATAGTGGAAAGGTAGTGATGCTGATACTATCAGACATACTATGTTGAAACACAGTATCTTTGTATCTGAGCCTGTATGAAACTATTGAATAAAGATTTTGATGATTAAACCAGGTGACCTGTTTTAATTTACCAGATTAGGTACAGGAAGTGTCTTCTTCACCAGTATCAGACTACCGATCCTCTACCTCTACAGAGGATCCGAAATGCTCATCTATATTCTATTCTTATATAGGAATTATATCGAAAACAAGTGCTGTCGAGAATCGAAGGATTATTTGCATTACTAATTTGATTTCTAAATTCATTGAAGATAAGTTTGATAATAAATTCTATTTAAAGGAGAAGAATTATAAAGTTATGCAATTTGCTAAAATTTTAATAAAAATATCATAAATCAATTAACATAGGCATAATATAACTTTGACAATTAATTTAATAATTGCTTAAATACAAAGTGATAGACATCATGTGGCTGATAATTGAATTAAAGTTACACTTACCAGCGCTATATTTACGTACCAAAATCATAGCATACACAAACATAGGATACACGATATCATTTCATTCTTTTTGTCATCAAACATTAAACAAGGATGAGATTATATGATGACGCGAACGTTGCAAATATGTATTAAATGGAACATACTCTTAGGCCCTAGTGCATATACAATATAATAAAAAATAGATTTGAATGTGATCATTTTATTATTAAAATATTAATATACAATAAAATACACAGAGATGCATATGTAATAAATTTCCATATTACAAGTTTTGCGGTAAATACTAAATAAATATAATATTAACATTATAATGAAATATTTAAAATACATGTATTACAATAGTAGGCAAGATATACTACACGAATCTGGATGTAATCGCTATTATAGTTTAGTATAATCTGCTTCTTTCCTGAGTCTTTTCTTTCATTTTCGTTCGGAGTAGGCACCGTGTGGGCATTGTGTGGAATAGGCATCTGTATTCTTGTACCTTGTGTGCCGTTGTCGTCTATGAGTACTAGATTGTTGCTATTAAACTTGACAACTTTAAGGACTTGTTAAAGACTATTTCCAATCAATATACCCTTTTTCTTTTCACCTCTTATAGCAACTAAAATTCTATCACCTGAATATGTATAGCAATGTTTAGATAAATTTCCTATAAAATGATAATATCTTTTATGTAGTCTTTAAATTATTATCTCACTGATGTATCTTCCCTGCGCTTGTACATGTATATGCAACATGTGGTTTATCTTACATCATAGCTTGCTTATCCACTACTCTCAATCAACTCAATTTAATTATCTGACTCACAGGGATTAAAGTAGAGATGTTTCTGTTTGCAACACTTGACACCGCAAAAGGCGATAACATCATCGTTTTAATCTCCTTTACGTCATAATATAAAAAATTGCATAATTTAATATTACAATACATTCATAGCATAAATTTCCTCTTAGCAGAAAGAAGACAAACGACATTAGAAACAATAAATTAAACGAATTCTTTTTTCTCAGATATTTTTTATATTTACCGTAGAATACAAATTTTCTCTTTGGTAATACTAATTCTAAAATCAATTTGGAATTTTTAATCGCGATAACTTCTTCGAGATAACAGAAAGCACAACAATTTTTACATAACCTCAGCTTTAGGATATTAAACCTAACCTAAAGTTATTGTCGAGTGAGCAAGTATGACGATACGGAAAATGGGATTTTTTGTTGTCATCATGAACAAGATACGTCGTCTCGAGAGAACATTTACAATCTCTCGGCGTTTTGAAAGCGAGTTCCTCGTCCACGAGATGTTTCAGCACAAGTAAAGTTTGTTCAGAGGAACAAAGCAAAGATTCGCTTTCGTCTGTGAACCCCATTATCAAGAAGGAACTTGCAATACAAGTAAAAGAGAATGCAGAAGCAATTCAGGAATTTCAAGTGAAATTGAGTGACTTTGCACGAAGTTACAAAAAGTTTTCTCACATTGACGATAAAAAATCAGATGATAGATATGTTCGTTCCCTTAATTCGCAACTCCAAATTTGTCAATGTAAGTCTTTCCTTTTCATAGTGCGTACAATTGTTTGACTGCTCTTTATTAAATACTATAATAATTTTGCTTTGAGTTGGGTGATCCTAAAGGAAAAGTCTCAACTGTGAGATATATCACATGGTTGGTGACGATCTATACCTAATCTATATATTGATTTTGGATGGAAGTTTCATTGCGTTTATTAGAGATCTGTCGAGAATGGACAGCAAAAGTTAAAGTGTAATCAGCTTCCAGAAGAGTTACATCCGTTTCAGCATCTAAGAACTTGGAGGAAAGTTCTGAGAAACCTTTATTCTTAATCGAACCTTAGATCCTCTCACATAGTATCTAAAAAATAAAAAACAAAATAATATTTGAGACAGTATTTATATTGGTATATTTGATATAGTAAATAATATTAAACAAATAAGATATATTCTGGAAAAAAAACAGATTTACATTACAGTACATTGTCCATTCTTGACAAGTTTCTAATGCTTTGAAATTTCGATCCAAAATCAATATACACATCATCACCAACCATATGATATATCTCACCAGTTGCGACTTCACCTAACTAAAAATAAAATTGTATTTAACAAAAATATATAATTAATATATGTTTTTAATATTAAAGTATTTAATATTTCCTAATGTGTACAATTGTTTGATTTCTTTTTAAATACACATTATGTATTTAATAATAAAATATGTATGTTTAAGGAGCAGTCAAACAATTGTACACACTATGAAAAGGAGATTTACATTGACAAATTTAGAGATCCGATTTAAGGAAACGAACGTCTGTGGCGTTTCTGATTTTTTTTATCGTCAATGTGAGAAAACTTTTCGTAACTTCATGCAAAGTCGCTCAATTTTGCTTGAAATTCCTGAGTTGCTTCTGCATTCTCTTTTACTTGTATTGCAGATTCCTTCTCGATAATGAGTTCCACAGACGAAAGCGAATTCTTACTTTGTTCCTCTAAATCTGAATTTATCTTTACTCGTGCTGAAACATCTCGTAGAGTTAGACGAGGAACTCGCTCTCACAATGCCGAAAAATCGCGAATGCATTAACGCTCTTTCGAAACGACGTATCTTAATGTTCATGACAACAAAAAGTCTCGTTTTACGTATACTTGCGGATCGTCAATGATTTTAGGTTAGGTTTAATATCCTAAGCAAAGGTTATCGCTGCGTTCTGTTTTATGCATGGTGCGCATGATGCGTCATTTATCCTTGTTTAACATTCGATAACGAGGAATAACAAGGAATAACAAGGATGAATAATGCAGCATGCGTGTCATGCGTGAAACGGAACGCAGCCTATGTAAAAATTGTTATGCTTTCCGTTATCTTGGAGGAATTATCGCGATTAAATACCCCAAACTGATTTTAGACTTAGAATTGTCAACAAGAAAACTTGTGTTCTATAGTAACTATCATAAAAAAATATCTAAAAAAAAAAAGAACACGTTTAACTTATCGTTTCTAATGTCGTTTATCTTCTTTCTACTAAGAGAAAGGTTATGTTGCACGGGATGATACACATTTGGTGAGACAATAAATGAAAGACTTACATAAAAGATGTTACCATTTTATAGGAAATTTATCTAAACATTGCTATACGTATTATTCACGTGATAGAATTTTAATTGCTATAAGAGATGAAAAGAAAAAGGGTATATTAGTTGGATTGAAATAAGGGAAGGAACAGGCCCTTAAAGTTCCCAAGTTTGATAGCAGCAATCTGGTACTCATAGGGTGCTTTCCAATTGCAATATCCCTAGATACTTTCGTGCACACAGCGACACAAGTTGTGTTCCAATTGTCCGTTAAGTCGGTTCTACATTAATTGCAAGCCAATCGCAAGTTTATTGCGACAGTCAATATGAAGAGTTGATTTCAAAATGCAAGCTTCAGATTGACTGTCGCAACAAATTTGCGATCGGCTTGCAACTAATGTAGAATCGGCTTTATCGTTGACACAATGTTACACATCTGTACTCAGCCGAAGGCTGATGATCTGTATAAACTTGTGTTTTCTAGTGACAATTATATGTTACTAATTGTGGCGGCTATAAATGAGGTTGGAAGACGTTGCGTAGCCGGCACTTTTTCTTATTTAATACAGGCGGGAAAAGCTACATTTAATCTAACTCTATCCGAAATGGATCTCAACCATGCACAGCGTACACATTCTGTTCCAATTGAATCGTGCACAATAATACACTTTGTGCATTCCTGTGTACGTTGTGTTAAGATGTGTTAGGCTAATTCTATATTTTCTTGTTTTATTGACCAAAAAGACAAGAGACAAGCAATAAAAAATAGGAAACAAAGATCACATAAGCAATTGAAAAGCACCTCATCCTTGTTTAATGTTTCATGACAAGGATGGAATGATATCACGTATCCTATGTATGTGATTTTGACGTAAGTATAACGCTCGCAAATGTAACTTTAGTTCAATTATCAACCACGTGATGTCTATCACTTTGTATTTAAGCGATTATTTTAATTAATTGTCAAAGTTATGCCTATGTTAATTGATTTATGATATTTTCATTAAAATTTTGCACAACAAATTGCATAACTTTAATTCTTCCCGCCTTTAAATAGAATTTATTATCAAATTCGGAAATCAAATTAGTAATGCGAATAATCCTTCAATTCTCAAAAGCACTTGTTTTCGATATAATTCCTATATAAGAATAGAATATAGATGAGCGTGTCGGATCCTCTGTAGAGGTAGAGGATCGGTAGTCTGATACTGGTGAAGAAGACACTTCCTGTATTTAATCTGGTAAATTAGAACAGGTCACCATGGTTTAATCATCAAAATCTTTATTCAATAGTTTCATATAGGCTCAGATACAAAGATACTGTGTTTCAACATAGTATGTCTGATAGTATCAGCATCACTACCTTTTCAGTATTTCCACTATGTGTTTTATTAATAATACTTTTACTTATAAAAAAAAAGTTTGGAAAAACTGACTCGGATAGTATTCATTAAGCAATTCATGAATATAAAAAAAAAACCATTCCACACATTACATGCCAAAAAAATACAAAAAACACAAAAAAATACAAAAAACAAAAAAACACAAAAAAACAAAAAACACAAAAAACACAAAAAAACAAAAAAAAACAAAAACAACGTAAATACTAAATAAGCTAATGAATCAATAAATAATATGTATAATATATTTATCTAGTTTATAAATTTATATATACTGATACATAGTTATATATAAATTCACTAGATAATAGTACTATTGCTTGTGTTACATTTCACTGCTAATCCAATATCTATAAGTCACCTTCATTCTATTATTAATATTATAACAGTGAATATGGAACAAAGCTAATAATAAATAATATTCTTCATTTTAATTGATTACTTATCAGACTTATGTTGAAAATAGTAATTTAATACCAGTTAATAGAAGCAACAGGAAGCTTTCAAGGCACTATCCTTATTCACCAGTAATGTTGACTACTTTTTTGCATTGAGCATCACGTAACAGTTTTGCTGTTTAAAAATTTTTACTGTCTAGTCTAAACGACCCGAAACGGATTCAACATTTCGCAATACATTTACTAATGGTCGCTATCATGAAAAGTGAAAAGAAGAAAGATGAATCACTCCCATTATTCACCATGGTGGAGGAAACTAT